CAGGAATGAGGGAACAACTTTGTGGGCTTTTTAATTCTTGTATTAGTTCAATTAATGGGGACACTGTAAGAAAGAAGTCTTTAAATATGTGAAGACTAAGGTGGTTTTGTTGTATGGAATAATTGGAAGTGAAAAACAACAAACGGCATTGAATCTAGAACAGAGATACACAAAAATTTATGCAAGATAATGAATGTATCTATAAGCATTTCTTGGTGCAGAGAGTTGTGTCTTTGTGACTTATCTAAAAATGTAGTGTTTGTCTTCAAGGTGAAAATTTCAGATTTAAGAAGTGCTGCCTCTTGTTTAAATGCATCTGTTTGACAGTTTCCATTAACTATAAGGTTTTTTATATTAAGCTGTTTCAATAAATGCTCTCAAGGTACCTCCTTTGAAATATGATACTGGTATTAGACTAGATCTTTACAAAATCGTCCTTGGTAGTAGAGTATTTTCAACATTCTCTTACAGTTTTTGTCATTGTAGTTGGGGTAAAAGATAAAATGAAAGCAATCTGCTCTTTGTCTGCAGAGTATTGGCTACAGTTATAGTCTCAATAAATTATAGACCAAGATCTTCCATGCAAAAGAAAGAAGCTAAAAGTAAGGAACCTAAAGTAAGGAAACAGAAAAAGAAAGATGTTTGGTTTATTTCTCGGATATTTTAAATACCAGACGTAGGACTGGAACCACGATAACCTGTATAAGCAATGGTATGTCTGCTTGCATTCCAGAAGAAGTTGCTCCAGGTCATCATAGGAAAAGAGGTCATGGGGACATGTCAGGGATCTCGTAGTCTGTGCTGCATAGGAGGACTTACTATTTTTCCTCCAACCTGTTAGTTTTGCATGTGTTCCCACCACTCTGTATGTAAATTGCATAAAATTTCTGTTGATGAGTATGACCGATGGGCTGTGTGTGCCGTCTGTCATACAGAGATCTGCTTTCATTATTTTTTCATTCATTATTTTGGCAAAGTCTGGCTGGTGTGGAGTTAATTTTCTTTACAGCAGCCACTATGGTGCCATGATTCAGATTTGTGGCTAAAACAAGTGTTGATAGCACAGCAGTGTTTTGGCTCTTGCTGAGCAGTGCTTGCAGTGTTGAGACTTTCTCTGTTTTCCAGAGACCCAAATTGACCAAAGAGATATGCTCAGCAATAAAAAATGGAGGGAATGTTTCGTCTTCCAAACTGAGCATCAGTCTGCTTGTGAGAGGTGGTGAGTGACTGCTTTTGCATCACTGCCCACCGCCCCCCCTTCACTTATTAAACTGTCTTTATCTTGACCCATGGGTTCTGTCACATTTGCTTTTCCTGTTTTCTCACCTGTCCAGAAGGCAGGGAATGAGCAAGCACTGTAGGGTGTTTAGCTGCTGGCTGGGGTCACCCCTCTACAGGTCTTTTAACATTCCCTTCATCCTCCTCCTTTTCTTGAGCTTTTATTGCAGAATGTAACATTGTGTGGCAGGGAATATCCCTTTGGCTGGTTCAGGCCAGCTGCCTGCTGTGTCCGCTCCCAGCTCCTTGCCCACTCCTGTCCTACTTGTGAGGTGGGCGCGGGGCAGCAGAGTGGGGAAAAAGGAACGCCTCAACACTGCAAGTATGGCTCAGCAATAGTCAAAACACTGGTGTACTATCAAGACAGTGTTTCAGTCACAGCTAAAATGCAGCACTGCATGGGCTGCTATGAAGAACATGAATTCCATCCCAGGCAGACCCTGTACGGTCGTGGTTTTAGTAACTGTGTCATGACATCTCAGTCCGAAGATGTGCAATTCCTGGTGTATGGCTCTTAGTATGAGGGTGATCAAACACTGGAACAAGTTACCCAGAAAGGTATAGAGTCTCCATCCTTGGAGATGCTCAGGATGTGACTGAATGAGGGCCAGAGAAACCTGCCATCATTGACCCTGCTTTGAGCTGAGGGCTTGGGCTAGGTGGTCTCCAGAAATGCTTTCTGTGCTCAACTGTTTTGTGAACAGCTTCTGTATGTGTTTCACAGTGGTTTTATATCAGGTAGCATTTATTAATGTTTCAATTCTGATTTTAGAACATGTGGTAGGAAAAGCCTACCAGGCCATCTCTCCTGTCCTTTTCTTCTCCTATCTGCCTTGTTTCCAAAATTCAACCTACATAAAAACCTGTAAAATTGGGGGTGGTTCTTTGTTTCTAGTGATTCTATGTCAAAGGAGAAGATAAGAAGCATTGGCCCAATCGTTGATAGAGTGAACAAGCTTTCAAGTTATCTTGAATTTGCAAGACAGCACCATTTGAAAACTTAGACAACTGGAAGATAATTTTGTTTCTACTGGTAGATTAATCTGTATTGTGATGGCCTGAACAATATGGGTTTAACGTTAATTCTTTGTCTTTATAATTTAACAGTGTATAGAATAGTATTGCTTAGTTCTGCTTTCTGGATTTTTGTTATTTGAAATGTCAGCTGTTGGAATAATTCTCAACTCTTTGAATATTAAAAAATGATACTGCTCGTAATGGTGAGATACTTTCAAAATCATCCAAGTAGCCAGGACCTGGGGAACCTAATAAGCCCTATGCTGAGCATTTTACAGTTACTAAAGTAACTCTAATGTAGTATTGAGATCCATCTTTATTTCTGTATATCAAACTAAGTTTAATGTTTTTTTTAAATCCATGCTTATATGTACCTTCCTTCATGCACTTTGTGTAAGTAAGATTTTTGTGGCTGTCAGACATTGAAGAAGGCTATGATTCATTTTCCTGTCCCCTAGATAAGTTTTGTGGTCAGTCTGATTTCATGCTTGACATTTTACATGTCAGATGACTCTAATCACTTGCAGGTTCACATTCTGTAACGTATTTGTCTGGAGATACCTGGTATCTCTATGTTTGTGGTGTTCAGTTTGTTTAGGCATTTGAGCTGTCGTAGTGGCAAGGCCATATACAACAATCACCATCTGAGTTGAGTTCACTTGTAGGAGGAGAGGGCTGCAGAGTCAAGCCCTTAGTCACTCCGTCAGGGCATAAAGTCCTAGTCTACATGGTACTCTAACTACAAAAGGAGTCTTCAGATACAACTGAGTTTATTCTTCAGCCCATTTTACGAAATTGGAAGAAATAGGTACCGGCTCCTTGTATTGCGGAACTCCTTCTGGCGTTTTTAACCAAGGAAGGAGAGGAGGCATTGACAGTCAAGGTATTCTTGATTTGATGAGTGAGGAAAAAATATATAATGCTATTTTACTTAATACGAGATGTTGGCAGTAGCTATTTAATATGCAAAATATGATGACTGAGTAATTTTCTGTAGTGTGGCAGAGTTTAAATTTTTATGCAGAAAATGGCATATGCAGATTGTATCTCAGTAAAAATTGAAATAAATTATTTGATTTCAGTAATACTGAAAGAGAAATACATGTCATACTACATACCTGAAAACCAAAAATATTTGTGGGAAGATTAATTATTTTATCAAGCGTGCACTGGGTCATAGCTTTAGAATGAGAGAGAGAAAAGTGAGAAAAGATGTCTTTCTAGAGCTCTATTTAAATGTTTTTGAGGTTATTTTTACAGTATTAGATATTGTTCCTGTGTTGGACACAACTGTATCCAATCATAACAGGTCAAAGATTTGATTGCTGCATGTCTTGTTGATTATCTTTGCACACACAGCTAAGTATGCATGAAAGTGCGAAGACACACTCAGTATATTTTTGTTTTCTACTTAATTATTTAGTTCTTTTTTGGGTTGATATTTTGCATACAGATTAATTTCTATTGATATTCATGTTGCTGTTCTTCATTCCAGTGTAAATTTCAGTAGCTGCAAAAATAAGGTAGAACAACTCAAATGCCTTGAATTTCAGCTTGTATCTGTCACTACTTCTCTCCTGAGCCTTCCATATGCAACTGCAGTCTGAATCTGGGGATTAGAATGAACGCTTCCCTGTAGAGGAGTGCTACTGATTGAGTATTTGATTTAACAGGATAGCTCTGTGATTTGCAAGTATAATCTGTATAAGCTCTGCTACAAACCTTTTCTGTTTTCTATTCCTGTCCTTCTAGAAAGAAAGTGCTCTGCACTTGTAGTATCTCCTATTCCCCTTCCCCAGTTACTCTAGGACTTTGAAAATTATTGCCAATGAAATAGCAATTTTCAGCCTGGTTGGAGATCTGGTAAAGGCACATGTGCTACTTGAATGTGGAAAAAGCAGTGCCCTCATTTGGCATTTTAAGCAACTAATTAAAATATTTTGCAGAGTTTAGAATTAATACATTCTGAGTACAGTTTTGTGAACTTTCTTGACTTCAGTATGTTAGTAAATTCTCATTGCTATAAATGAGCTTATGATGTTTAACACTTGATTTTATTGAAACTTTGTGAGAAAGTTTTCTGTGGCTGTATGGAAAAGCAGATTCTCAAACAGTGGAAAAACTAACCTGTTTAACATTTGAATCCTCTTTTTCTTATTGGAACAGTATTGCTGACATCATTGAGCACTATAGAAAAGAACAGATTGTTGAAGGGTATTACCTGAAAGATCCTGTTCCAATGCAGGTAAGAATTCATCTCTGAGTGTTTGTTGCTGAAGACAGAGACCTAATCATCATCACATCAGTTTATGAACTGAATTAGAGCAGAGATACCAATGGTAGTTGAACAGCATCATCTCCAATTTTAATGTTTTCAGCCTGTGTGTTTCTTTTGTTTTATCCTCAAATGCATTCACTTACCAAAAGTTGGCTTCTAGTCAACAGACAATATGGTAAGCTCTGTCTGTCCTCTGAGGTGTTCATCCTTTGCTGTGTGTCCCTAGCTCTGGACCCTGCTGTGCCTTAGTGCCATGTTAGGGGGATCCAGGCTATCCTGCTGTCTTCTGTGTCTGGAATTTTTCTTCTGTCAGAGGAAACCTGGATGCACCGAAAAGTTTCAAGGATGACTGCAGGGCTTGTTCTGGAGCGTTCTTGCCCCATAGCAGAAGTTCATCCTAAGAGACCACCAGCAATTAAGTACACAACATCATCTAGCTTTTCATAATCTTGTAGCTAGTTATAATGTATACATGTATATTTTGTTCACTTTCTGTTCCCAAACTTTTCTGTTTCAATGGTTACAAATTTGCCTTTAATTTCCTCTCTAAATAGAGTTATGGTCAATTCATACCCCTTTGTGAGATCTGTCATATTAATAGGGGAACATTGCTTGTATTCTCCCTTAGTCAGCTCACTAAGCTAAGCATACCAAAGCTGATCCTGTCCCTTTGTAATGTCCTTGTAGTTGCCCTGCTGCCACCGCTTTTGGTGCAAGCTCACCTTCTTGAATGTGGTGGACCAGAACAGTGTAGAGTACCATGTCATGGGTAATTCCCTTTCTGGAAAATAACAGAAATATCCTAGAATAGGTGTCATTTTGTGTGGTGGGTTGACCCTGGCAAGCAGCTAAGGACCCACACCTTTGTTTGCTCACTCCCCTCTCCTGCAGGATGGGGGTAAAAGCAAAAAAACTCCTGGGTTGACGTAAATACAGTTTAATAAGCAAAGGAAGAGGTGGTGGGGGTGATGCAAAGGCAATCACTCACCACCTCCCACAAGCAGACTGATGCCCAGCCGGTCTCTGAGAAGTGGTCACCCAGGAAGACAACTCCCATACACACAGAGTTTTATTGCTAATCGTGATGTTATATAGCAGGGAATATCCCTTTGATCAGTTGGTGTCTGCTGTCCCAGCTGTGTCTGCTCCTAGCATCTCTCCTGCCCAAGCCACCTCGCTGAGGAGGGGGGCAGAGTGGGAAATGGAGAAAGTCTTGAGGCTGTGCAAGCACTGATCAGCAAGAGGCAAAAACACTGGTGTGTTCCAGCAGTGTTTTAGTCACAAAACCAAAACACACTATCAGAGGGGCTGCTATGACAAAAGTTAACTCTGTCCCAGTATGTTGTCATATCCATGTTATATCATAGCTCAGTCCTCCTGTGAATGACTCAGCTGTTCAAATTTCTCATTTTCCGTTTTCTAGTGGTAAGTATCAACAGGTGTCACTTTTATGTTGTACTAATAGACTTACACCTTGTTATTACAATCTTTCCTATGCTACTAATTGTGTTAACGTCATCAGAGCTTCCCAGTTGTTTGCTGCTGTTCACTTGCACTCAGTAATGCAGTTGGGACAAAAAGCAAATATGAATTCTGAGACTGCTCCTTGAAAGGCTTCACTAGTAACTTTCCTCATGCGCTATCATTCTTTTTGAATCATGGCAGTAACCGTCTTCATTTTAGCTTTTTGCATATGCACTTACAGTTCCTGTATTAATAATCTTCCCTGCATTGACTAATTTTCCATGTGAGACTACTTCAGATTCTTTTAACCTATTCGTTATATTTGTGACTTTCTTTATTTAAAAATGTAGTGGTCAGTGGTGCAATTTATGTTCAGCTTTGTGTTATATCCCTTCCACGTACTACAGTCTTGGTTTTCATGTTTTCTTATGGTTAAAGAACTTTTGCTGGTCAGCTTTCTCCGTAAGGTCAAACTTGGCTTGGGCTTTTGGTCATTCTCGTTTGGTACTTGCGTTTACACATCCTACAGTTTTCTGTGTGAATTTATGCTTTCTCTGTTTCCTGTTTCTGCTTTCTTCTCTTGTCTTGAGTTCTACTCAGTTAGGACATGTGAGTTCTAATGAGATTAATGAGGGACTGTGCAACTTTAAGTCAATTTTAATTGTCATCTCCACCATTCTTGTTGCTTCAGACTTTATCCATGATTACTGAGTCCCGAAAGCTTTGGTAGAAGACAGTTAGAAGCTGGATAAACCTTCAAAGACTTGCATAAATTTAACAGAAATCAGGGTGAAAGATGATGCTTTTTAGTTAATATGAAAAAGACAGAGTTACTTTGTAGAAGTTGGTCTGTAATGAAAACTTTTTTCTTCTATCATAAATCTGGAAATACGGAATTAGTTATTACATTTCTAGCAAAGGTATTGTGTGAAAAATGATATTGCTTTATTAAAATGCATGAGAGAATAGTAATAGTGAGTTGGTAGCATTCAGTAAGATGATCCTGGTTGCAACTTCATAGTATGCAATTTTCTAATGGCGATTTCTGAGCTTAAAATATGTTTTTTCTTACATGTTTACCAGCACCAAGAACAAGTGCTTAACGATACAGTGGATGGAAAAGAAATCTACAATACAATTCGTCGGAAAACAAAGGATGCTTTTTATAAAAATATTGTCAAAAAAGGTTATCTTCTGAAAAAAAGTGAGTTATGTTTACTTCTATGAAATTTTTTCTTTTTTAAAAAAAAAAAGCATATATGGATCATAGAATCATAGAACATCTCAAGTGGGAAGAGACCCATAAGGATCATAAAGTCCAACTCCTTGCTCCTCTCAGGACTACCTAAAACTAAACCATATGACTAAGAGCGTCATCCAGACGCTCCTTGAACTCTGACAGGCTTGCTGCTGTGACCACTGCCCTGGGGAGCCTGTTCCAGTGACCAACCAACCTCTCAGTGAAGAACCTTTTCCTTATGTCCTATTTCAACCTCGCCTGACAAAGATTCATTCTATTTCCTTGTGTCCTATTACTGGTCACCAGAGAGAGCAGATCAGCACCTCCCCCTCTGGTGCCCTCCTTGAGGAAGGTGTAGACTGCGATGAGGTCACCCCTCAGCCTTCTCTTCTCCAAGCTGAATGTGCATACTTAGTGAATTTAGTATAGTAGTGGTCCAAAAAGGACAAAATTTAAGTGGGCAAAAGGTGCTAGAAAGTGTGTGAAGAGTATGAAAGATCTCTTTCCTTAAGTAGTACATGAATAGAACAACGTGATAGATAAAATTATATGCAGTGTGAAAATGCCAATTGGCAGTTGTTCTGAGAAAAATCAGAGCACAGCACAAAAACTAGGCATCTTTGTCAAAGGTAGTATTCAAACTCATTAAATGAAGTACACTTTCATGGAAAGAGTTTGGTTTTAATATGGAACTCATTAAATTCTAGTTGATAGAGTAGGTTAGAGAGAGCTAGAATAGTATAAATCTGTACATTTGCTGGAGAGCACAGCTGGTTTAATTTTGTTATTCCAAGTTAGGTCATATGTTTTAAATCTTAAAATATCTATTCTGCTGTACAAGATATATAGTGACTTTTTTAGGGTTCTAACACTGACACAGTCAACATAACATACAACAAATACGCTAAAAGCTGACTGGTTGACTCATCTCGGTATGACCCTGAAGAATTGCCATTGAGCAAGTCTTTGAAGTTCTGAGGAAGCTAGTGCCTTACCAAGTGTTACATTTCTACTTTTTAAAAAATCAACATTAATGGATGCAGAAAAAACTATCAATAATAAAATTTCTGCAAATGACAGAGACCATGACTAGAAGGATAAGTTACAGATAGTAATCTGGATAGCAACCAAAAGTGAGAAAGAAGGTATGATTTTCAATATAGCCAAATATAAAAGATACATTAAAAAAACCAAACTACCCCAAACTGTAGACCCTCTGCACAGAACAAGGAAAGCATCTCTGCTATTGAGAAGGCCGATTCTGAGAGAAGGTGTAGAGGGATGTTGTAGAGTGAGGAATCAAATAAGAATGGATGGAAGACCTTTAGCTAAAAAAGGTAACGAGATACTTTTAATGTGCAAACCGGAGTACTGAGTAAGTGTAGAGAGATGCACATAGCTGCATATGGAACAAACTCAATAAAATCACTCTTCCATCTAGGAGACAGCGTGTAATAAGTGGATATTAGATTTGTCTTTTCAAAACAGTGCTAGTACTCATTTATTGAGGTCCATGGTGGGTTTATGATGATCAAAGTATAAAATTAAGGCTGAAAGTTTTTTCTAAATGGTACTGTGACTTAAGCATTAATTAGTTGCAGAAAGTTCTTTATCCATTGTAGTTCAGAGAACATCTTCTCTCAAACAAGTGGAACCAGCCAAATTCTTAAATATGGTTGTGTTTGGGGCATGGTTCTGATTTAAGTTGGTATATAATGTATTCCCATTTCTGTTCTTCAGCCATGCTCTTAAGATACTGTAATGAAATCTGTTAAACATTGGTCAGAGTTTAGGAGTAAATTTCACATGTCAAGAGTCTATATCTTAATTAAAACTGTAACAAATGGGATCCACAGAAGCATTATTTGCAAACTCTGTAGATAAAGTCTTTACACGGACAGGAACTCACTGTCCAGGCAGCTCAATATGCACTTGCTTAATCCTGTTGAAATTAGTGAAAATGTTTAGAGAACCTTTTGCAATTCTACCTGCATCAGTGAAGAGGGTCTAGTTTTAGCCACATGTTGCATAAAATTGAGTATGTGTACCGATACTATAACTTATGTGTGTTTACCTGTACATTGTTCTTCTGTTTGCAGTTTGGCAAAAACTTTACTGCCCTCTTTTGTTTTATTCATTTACAAAATTTACACTTCCTTTTAAACAGTATCGTAACTTTTTGCTTGACTTTTCTACAGGTAAAGGAAAGAGATGGAAAAACTTGTACTTTATATTAGAGGGAAATGATGCCCAGCTTATTTATTTTGAAAGTGAAAAACGAGCCACAAAACCCAAAGGACTAATAGACCTTAGCGTGTGTTCCGTCTATGGAGTACATGACAGTTTGTTTGGCAGGTAGGACACTGCCTTTTAATTCTCATGTGTGCAGCAGGAGAGTTGACTGCTAGTTTGAGGCATGTACAAAACACAGGCAGTATGTCGCTAGTGAGCAAGTAGCCCTAGCTTGCACTGTGGCTCTTCGTTCATACCAAGAGTCTGTAGTTGGTGTCGATTGCAAGATCATATGTAGACAGATGTAGCTGATGAATAGTAACATGTTTAGCCATGGCAACTTGATTGCTAGCAACTGTACATAAACAACTTCTAGTTAGAAATTTTATAATTTAGTTAAAGTTTTATTGTGAAAGAAGATGTGATGATGATTCAAGCTTTTTTGCATTGTTATGTTTTAATAGTGAGTGCATTAATTGTTCCATGTTTCATTTTACAGACATTAGGGATTATGAACGGAGGGTTTTAATCCTTTTGAACTAAGAACTGACAATATCAAGAATTTTGTCAATTCCAAAAGATCTGCATTCTTTTGATAGGTATTTGAAAGCTAACTTGGTTAGATGGAGTCTGTAAGTGCTTTTCTATTTAAGAAACAAGTCCTTTCATTAGATTAGACCAACTTAGCAACAAACTAGTTCATGTAAGTCAATATCCTCAGAAATTGTTTTTGCACAATTACTGTATTCAGAGATAATTTTCACATCAAATCTTATTCACAGTAATATTTTGATATTCAAAATATGCCAATTGCAAGGGATGTGATTATCAGCCAAGCAGCTGAGAACCAAAAGTTTTTCAGATATCATTGGTAACTAACAAGAAAGAGTTTACACATTTGTTCGTTGAGAGTTACAAAAAAAGTCCACTGTCCTGTATTATAATGTCATATGGAAGAAATAGGTACACTTATTCCTACGAGTGTTAGAAATTCTGGTTTTCCCACGGATCTTAATATTTATTAAAAAATTAAGTTTTTTCACAAAAATAACTAGAAGTTGACTGTATATAAAGACAAATGCTTAAAATTAGTGGCATTTCTTAAGGTGCAAAGACTAGTGCTTTTGTTTGATGTGGGGCTTTTCTTTTTTTAAATCTTTTTAATAATTTTGAAAAAAATCCATTAAACTAATGGAATGAGGAGCATAGATACAGATAAAGAGTACGAGAACAGTAATAAAAAATTACTGAAATGTTCCTTATGTAAGTTGGCAATTATTCGGGAAGCTTTGGTGTATATTGTAAACAAGGAGCATTGTGGTTAACAGCATCTGTCTTAAACAGCTTTTAGGAAACACTGTGCTGTGGGTTTGTTGGACAGTAAGTGGTACTAAATGTGGGTAGAAGGAGATGCATGGTTGCACCAGCTTAGGAAGCTGTTAATGAAGAAGGATAGCTGAGACAAAGTTCCTCCTGCATTTTAAGTAGCTGTTAAAATATGCCTTTGCCCCTTTCTCAGAAGTACAGTGAAGTCTGTAGCTGTGCATGGTTCTTTGGTGGCAATGATTTAATTATCCCCAGATCTGGCTACTTCCTGCTCTCCCCCTCCCTTCTGCAGCATGGCCACAGAGTGCTGTGTCAGCGTTTCTCCAGGCCATGAAACGGATGGGGAACTGAAGACTGAAACTCCTTTGCAAATGAAGTAGGATCCTTCATGTAACGCTGGTTTTGCTAAATTTCCTTGAGAACAGCGTGGAAGGTCATGAGTGAAGTGTGCACTTTAAATAGCTTGTAATTTAGCAAACCAAAATATTTTTTACTGCCTTTTTGGGAGATGAGTTGAGGTACACAAAATGGCAAAGACACTGGAATTGCATTTAAGGTTGTAGAGGTTTGCGTCACATGCATTCAATGATTGTATGTCAGCCAATACACATTTTATTGGTTGCGAGAGCCGTGGGACACATTCAGCTGGGGGATTTCTTATGTTAATACTGTTTCCTGAACTCCTGGAAGAACAATCCTTAATGTATGATCAATTGGTTGGGAACTAATGCTGAACATCTCCTGCTTTGAAAATCTCTAGAAATAGTCCTCGTTGACAAGTCTTTTCCATTACCAGATGGCTATTTTTTGCCTTGACTGTCAGTCAGCATACATGCCTATTCAGTACAGGCCATTCTAAAAGTTTCTCAATATTCCAAAACAAACGAGCAGTACTGAAGTGCGGTTTTCTTAAAATGACATAATACATTCAAAACAAAATGCAGTTTTGACCACCTGAGAAATTTTCTAGTTGGAGTTCTTCTTCTTTCCACGTGTGATGATGCCATATGTATACAAACAAAAATTGATGCAATGTTCGATGCTCCTTACAGACAAACAGCAGAAGTGTATTAGTTCAGTGTAAGCTTTGTTTTGGCACAGACCAACAAGTGAAGGTGTCTGTTAATATTATGAAGATTAATAAAACTTACATTTTTTGTTTTGTTTATTTTTAAGGCCAAACTGTTTTCAGATAGTAGTTCAGCACTTTAGTGAAGAGCATTACATCTTTTACTTTGCAGGAGAAACTCCAGAACAAGCACAGGTGAGAGCTTTTGTTGGTACATTTAATTTGAGAAGTGATTTTTTTGTCTTGTGGTTTTTAATGATATTGCCCTTCTGAAACAGGAAGCAAGTGTATCACAAACAGTTAGTGGCTGTGTCTATATTAGCGGGTGTTATAATGGAGTAGTAGCAGATCTGTAAAGGGAACAGTTGATGCTGAGAATTCAGCAGAAAAACTTGGGGGTTTTACTTTGGACAAGTTCCAGTCGGGTCCCATGGATTGAACTTCCATTATTTTTCCACTGTATGTTTCTGGAGAACAGGGGGTGGGGAACACGACATATAGTTCAATTCAGAAGAGTAATTTATTCTCCAGGATTTTTCCATATTATAAACCAGAGCATGGTAAGTAGAGCTTTCCTTCAAAGGCATATTCCTGATATGAACTAAAATGCTAATGCACGTCTGTATGCCCAATGACCGAAGTATATTGAAAAGCTGCCTTCTCCAGTCATTTGTCCTGTCCATAAATTGGTGGTTATTCATAGTCTTCTTGGGGCCTCCCCATGCACAAAAAGTAAGGTCTTCTGGTTTTAGTTGGTATCCTTTAGTTACTAGCTCTCTAGTGGTTATGTTTGCTGATTAAGAATTGCAGGATAAGAGCCTAATTCTCTGAAATTAACTCAACAGCAGGAGAGGGTACCTAAGATAAGACAATGTCCTTATTTATTAAGTTTACAGCTTGGAAGGTCCACATCTCTGAAATATACCTGTTTCATCAGAAGTTAAGCTTCGCATTTGATTTTATTTGAATGGAATTAAAGCTGTTTAGGGCACTCATAATAGACTACTATTCACCAGAGCATGAAGGCTGTATAAATTTAGTATTCTTCTTGTGCTGTACAGAAAGGAAAGCACAAATTTTCCTGTTAAATTAATACAAATTTATGAAAGTCACTGAGATAACATTAGAATGATGTAGTGGCATTTATCATCCAACTCTCAGGGTACTGTCTTTAAGAAGCAGCATGCTGCATAGTATTTGAGAATATATACATTAATTTCCACACTCATTACTGTACATTCATTTTTGTCACATCTGCAATGTGTTTTGTGTTCTAGAAATTAAAAGAATTAAGAATGTCTAGAAGGCAGAATATCGTGTCTTGTTGCCTGAACATTTGGTATAATCTGCTTTTGGTTTTGATCTGCTTAACAAGCTGTTCACTGCATTTACACAGAATACAGGTGTTGTTTGGTTTTTTGGGGCTTTTTTTGGGTTTTTTTTTAGTAATACAGCTTTGGCCCAGGAAAGTTTACAGATATTTCTCTTTTCAGAAAGCTCAGCTTGCTTTACTCTGTAAGATTTCGTAGAAAAATAGTTTTATTTGCATATTAAGGCTGTCTTATAATGTGGTAAAATAAATACCAAGCAGCGCCATCCTATGGACTGCGTGTTCTCTGTACGGTTTGTACAAAACAAAAGCAAATGTAAAATGTAGCCTTACATGCTAGTGTCACTGTGCTTACTGTTGCACATTGTTAATTTTCACTGCTGTAAGCGTTGGCATTTAAGCAGAAAAGTTTTAGTGCTATGAGTGAGTAGTACAGAGGCGTACTATGCATCCAGAAAATATTCATGTTAAGAGTATTTAGGAGGCATTTGTTTCTTCAGTTGCTACTCCTGAGAATAAGGAAACAAGCTACTGAAATGTCATGATGCATAGCTGAAAGCTTTCCCTTCTGTAGAAGGTTTTGAAAGCTGAAACCTGACTTGCAAAGTGGTCTAGCTGAGAACAGCTGTAGTACATGCTCCTGTATTTTTAAAATGTGGAAGATATTGTGAAGGGTAAGATTGAAACAGTGTTACGGGTTTTTTTAAATGACATTTTAAAATTGTACTTTGAGAATAGATGGTGGATCTTTGAGATACAGACTTTAGAAGGCTGTTGGTCAAAACCTAAATTCTGTGCTTTGTAAGACCTATACAAAATTCAGTGGTTGGAGGAGAAAAACTAGAGAATGAGGCTATAACATATCTTCCACCTTGCAAAGGCCCCTTGCAAAGCTCGTCCATTCGCAACTTTTTCACGCTGCAGTGAGTTTTTCAGAGGTGGCCTGGCAAGTTGGCAGTGCCTCTTAGCAGCTTATTTGTTTAAAAAAAAATACACACAAAGGTTCTACAGTTAGTTTGGTGTTAGACAACCTGTTTATTTCCTTGATCAAAATGGAATCTGTCCATCTGCTCTGCTGGTCACATTTGTGAGCAAAGTGGGGAATGTTTGGATATTTGCTCTGTGTTTCTCTGTTAATGTTGGTTTAGTTTTTGTTTGAAGTATACACAGTATTATGACTGCCATACAGAAGTACTGGAGAGAATAATCAGAACAGTTTAGCTTGTTAACTGTAATTTTCTCAGAAGCAAACAAGTTTTGCTTCATTTTATATACCATTTGTAATTTCATGTAATATTACTAGACTGGAAAATTGGTAAAGGTCACACTGTATATCCATTAGTAATGCTTGATATTTCTAAAAGAGAAAATGGTTCAGATTTGCAAATCCTTTATTAGGTTTTGCTTAGTAAATATAAGAATTTTGCTTTAATATTCAAACTTGCATTCTTCAGAATTACAGGAAACTTCAGTTTTGCCAAGCTAAAGGGAAAACTTCAGATACTCTTTTTAGATATGTCTGTTCCATTGCAAGAAGCTGTATCTGACTTTGTTTCATTACACCATTCTGCATCCTTTTCTCTTAGGACTGGATGAAAGCTCTGCAGATGTTTTGCAGTTTAAGAAAAACCAGTCCAGGAACATCAAGTAAACGTCTACGTCAGGTGAAGCTGATACTATGGCATTGGCAGTGCATGTGGAGGAGTGTTTTGTCTCCTCATTGCAAAACAATACTGATAAATCTCAGAATTTTCCTTTCAACAGTGGTAAATCCTGCATGTGCTTACTTTCCTTTCTGGAGTTATGCAGTACCCATATGAAACCAACCAGAATGACTTACAGTTTATTGTAATGTCTACATACATAAAAAGCAAAATGGCTTTAGGCAATCTGCATGTGCTTTGCTAGGTATTATTTTCTGACTGCATTTGAGTAAAAGTGTGAAGAAGTCAGTGTTTGTATCATCTTAACTTTTAAAATTTACCACGTATGGGAAACTTTAAAAATTTGACAGACTTATGTGACGTGTAAACAGAATACTCGTTTAACTAATTTTACTCATTTTCAGTAGCAAATACATGCTGAACCATGCTTGTGGCTTAATTTCTCCGGGCCTCTTGAAAGTGCTATAGTTATAAATGGCTAAGTCTGTAATGATTGGATAATAACAGGAATATACTTCAAGAATCCCTCATATTTTTGAATGTTAGGAACACTGAATGTAGTTGTTTTAACAGACAGTGGAGAAAGGAATAAAATAGGATGTTTTCCAGGACACACAGCTATTCTGTAGTTAACATTAAAGATGTTCGGATACTTCTGAATAAATGAACTACATTAGATGAATTCACAGATAAAGTGGCAGGTGAAATTGGGGGTGTCAAGCTGCAAAAGCAAAGCAAAAAGAGTGCCAATGTGAAATAATTCTTTACTTCAAAAAATTAAGAAAATGCTCATCTACAAAAAGGAATAGAATGTAATGTGTTGTACAAGGGAATTTTATGTAATCTGTTAGAAAAGTACCAAATAAGCAATTGTGTTTAGAATAATCCATGTCTCTTACTCATAGAATCACAGAATGATAGAATGCTTTGGGTTGGAAGGAACCTTTAGAGGTCATCTAGCCCAACCCCCTGCAGTGAGCAGGGACAGCTTTAACCAGATCAGGTTGCTCAGAGCCCCGTCCAACCTGACCTGCAATGTTGCCAGGGATGGGGCCTCCACTGCCTCTCTGGGCAACCTGTGCCAGTGCTTCATCACCCACATTGTAAAAAATGTCTTCCTTATATCCAGTCTAAATCTACTCTTCTTTAGTTTAAATCCATTATTCCTTGTCCTGTCACAACAGGCCTTATTAAAAAGATTGCCCCCATCTTTCCTGTAGGCCCCCTTTAAGTATTGGAAGGTTGCAATAAGGTCTCCTCGCAGCCTTCTCTTCTCCAGGCTGAACAACCCCAACTCTCTCAGCCTGGCTTCACAGGAGAGGTGCTCCAGCCCTCGGATCATTTTGGTGGCCCTCCTCTGGACCCGCTCCAACAGGTCCATGTCCTTCTTGTGCTGAGGGCCCCAGAGCTGGACGCAG